TGCTCCCCCTTCACATCTCTTTGGGCAGCTGCACCAGGCAGGCTGCTGAGAGCATAGGAGCTTTTCCCCATGGTTCCCTGCTGTTTCTTTGTGGCCATGCTGGCCCCTGTGGGTAAGTGAACTCAACTCAGCCCTGAGCACCTACACCAACCTCGCTGCTGCTCTCCCAGCTGTGTAAGCTGTTGCTGGCAGCACTTCCTTCTGCAGAGCTCCCACTGTTGAAGTTAATCGATGTGAATGAGGTGGGCAGGCATTCACAAATCTTCAGCAATGGCTGTCTAATTGTCATTCTTTGTGCAGCTCCCACATGGTTGCTAATTTTGGACACAAACTGTCCAGGAATGCATTTTGCCCACTGGAGAGTGATGGAGATGTCACTTGCTGATCTGAAGAGCTGTCACAAGCCTTGCGCTGCTCCCTATCTTGCCCTATTCCTTCTCATCCTTTCCCTGCCAACCCACAATTCCTACTTCACATGTTTCTATTGTTTCCTTATCCTCACTGCTCCTTCTTTTCCTTCCAGCATTTGCTCTGGAACAGTCCCCAGACATGGTGATCAGAGAAGGCCAGTCCGTGGATCTGAAATGTTCCAAGAAGAAATCCTCCAGCACAGCAATGTACTGGTACTGGCTGCCTTTGGGGAAGGACTCCAGGCTGACCCAGTTGGTTTCTGCAATAGAGCGTGGCAATGCTGCTGTGGAGAGGGATTTTGAGAGCCATTTCAAGAGCAGCAAGATCCAAGGAGACAGCATCACCCTCTCCATAGAGCATGCCTTTCTCAATGACTCGGGCACATATTACTGTGCTGAGGGTCAGCACAGTGGTGAGGCTGCTGAGAGAGCTGAGCACAAACTTCTCCCTGCACAAACAGCACCTGCTTTCCACGTCCTGGGTGCTGCACAAGGCAGGGGGGTTACCTCTCATGCATTAGCTCCTCTCCTTCCTAGCCTTCCCTTTCTTAGCGTTGCTTTGTCCTGCCTTCTCTCCTTGCCACTCCAGGCCTCTATTTAACTCTCACTTGTGTCCACTCTTCTTCTCCTCTCTGCCTCCCTGTCCCTCCCCACCTTCTTTCTCTCTTCAATCTGCGCTCCACTGACTTCCTCCTTTTTCACTCCTGTCAACCCTGCTCATGATTCTCACTGTCAATCAGAAAGAATGGTTGTGTGGGAAGTTCTTGATGCACCTGTAGATAAAGACAAGGCCTGGCAGGTGTCAAAGTAGCCAGAACCAAGTGGGAGTTACCCACATGCTCCTCTGTTACAACAACTTCTCTGTGGTTGTTTTGTGGCCAAGGATTATGTACAGCCCAGTGCAAGCCTGTCCCTACTCAGCTTGAGTGTTGTGTGGATCACTGACTCCTCCATGTTCTGTGGGATCTGAGGCAGTGTCACTGCCTTCTACCCCTTGATCCTTGTCCAGTTTATCTTCAGCAAATATACTTCTAATAATAATTACAGGTTGTGTTGGCAGGCTTTGCAGCTAACAGAAATTTCCAACAGGTTCAAGTGTTCTACTCATTGACTCAGATGAAGTGGTAGAGTCTCCTGATCAAGTTTGCTGATAACACAAAGCTGGGAGGAGTTGCTGATACCCCAGAGGGCTGTNCTCACTCACTGCTCCCCCTTCACATCTCTTTGGGCAGCTGCACCAGGCAGGTTGCTGAGAGAGTAGGGGCTTTTCCCCATGGTTCCCTGCTGTTTCTTTGTGGCCATGCTGGCCCCTGTGGGTAAGTGAACTCAACTCARCCCTGAGCACCTACACCMACCYYGCTGCTGCTCTCCCAGCTGTGTAAGCTGTTGCTGGCAGCACTTCCTTCTGCAGAGCTCCCAGTGTTGAGGTTAATCGATGTGAATGAGGTGGGCCAGCATTCCCAAATTTTTAGCAATGGTTGTCTAATTGTCATTCTTTGTGCAACCCCAGATGGTTCCTAGTTTTGGACACAACCTGTCCAGTAATGCCACTTGCTTACTGGAGAGTGATTGAGATCTCACTTGCTGATCTGAAGAGCTGTCACAAGCCTTGCACTGCTCTTGCCCTATTCCTTCTCATCCTTTCCCTGCCAACCCACATTGCCTACTTCACATTTTTCCATTGTTTGCCTCTCCTCACTGCTCCTTCTTTTCCTTCCAGCATTGGCTCTGGAACAGTCCCCAGACATGGTGATAAGAGAAGGCCAGTCCGTGGATCTGAAATGTTCCAAGAAGAAATCCTCCAGCACAGCGATGTATTGGTACTGGCTGCCTTTGGGGAAGGACTCCAGGCTGACCCAGTTGGTTTCTGCAATAGAACGTGGCAATGCAGCTGTGGAGAAGGATTTTGAGAGCCATTTCAAGAGCAGCAAGATCCAAGGAGACAGCATCACCCTCTCCATAGAGCATGCCTTTCTCAATGACTCTGGAACATATTACTGTGCTGAGGGTCAGCACAGTGGTGAGGCTGCCTAGGGAGCTGAGCACAAACTTCTCCCTGCACAAACAGCACCTGCTTTCCATGTCCTGGG